AGAGGCCCAGTGCATGAAAATCCATGCACTGGAGGGGGCGTCCCTTGATTAGCCAATGGGAAGGGTAGCGGAGGTACGGCTAATTACCATATTTCTCTTTTATTAGGTAGGATATATATATATATTAACTAAATTACCCTGCAAAAGTGTCTACAAAATAAACATCCAAACCTGTGGAGAATTTTTATTTTATTTAGCCAAATTGACAACATATGCTGGGGAACAAGAACTCAAATACCTGGAGAATAGCAGCTTCCTTTATGCATTTGCAATTAAGAAAGGAAAATAAGGAAGAGGTGAGAGAAAACAAGGTGGTGATTGGATTACAGAGGGGTCCTCAAACTTTTTAAACAGGGGGCCAGTTCACTGTCCCTCAGACATTCCACACATGCGCACTGCGGGCCCGGGATGAGTTGGCTGCTAAGCAGGACAGGCAGCGGTGGCAAAAACATCCGGCGGGCCGGATAAATGTTTTCGGCGGGCCGCATGTGACCCGTGGGCCGTAGTTTGAGGACCTCTGGATTACAGGATAGTTAACAAGATTATGTGCCTTCTTGAGGGTGTTACTGCTCATTTCAAAGGTAGATGCACACACACACAAATGGACAGGGCTTACATAAGTGACTTTTTACTAAACAGTTAATGCCTGTGGCTGACTACCCACCATGATCTTCCCAGTTAGGAATTTATGATCGGATCACCATAGGAGTTTACTCTCCATAGACCCTCTTTTTTTTATTCACAAATGAGTAACTTATACTCTGCTTTCAGAACTTCTCCTTTGTCTGCTGTTTCTCAGAATAATTCTTAAGCCAAAGGGGCATACGTTAGGGTGGTATATTCTAGTCTTCTACAAGAGTGTCCAGTTAGCTTCGCTTGGCTCTCATGATCCTCACTTGGCTCTGTAGAGGACATTGGAAACCTGGATGGACAGCCTCACCAAACTGCACATGGAAAGGGAAAGGATAATTCCCTAAGGGAAGTGAATATGCAGCTATCCAAATGGGGGTAAGCGGATATGAGAATGCTCAAGAAACAACAACACATGCTATTTATACTAAATACACTTAAATACATTTTCTTCCTGTTTTGAACCAACATCTTTTCACCCTTTCATAAAAGCATCTTTTAAAGAGTTTTTTAAATGAGGTATTTGTGAAACCCCCCTATAGGAGACCAGAATATGTCACCCCAAAATATGCCAGTACATTTTGAAACAGCATTTATCAAATGAGAAAAAACAATCAGTATTCTCCATACGTGAACTGATCATTGAGGAAGAACTACTGGGTTGACACTAGTCTCTTGTGAGTTTGATTGGTATAGGTCTGTGGTCGGCAAACTGCGGCTCGCGAGCCACATGCGGCCCTTTGGCCCCTTGAGTGTGGCTCTTCCTAAGCCTTAGGAGTACCCTAATTAAGTTAATAACAATGTACCTACCTATATAGTTTAAGTTTAAAAAATTTGGCTCTCAAAAGAAATTTCAATCGTTGTACTGTTGATATTTGGCTCTGTTGACTAATGAGTTTGCCGACCACTGACCCAGATCAACAGAGGTGTAGAAGGTGAGGGGAATGTAAAATACGTAAGGAGAGGGAAATGATGCAAACCCATTGCCCCCAGAAAAGCAACTGTAGTGGCATGGACTAGTGGTGGGGATTAGTTCATCCCACTATTTTTCCTTTGTCCGTTCTCCTGGAAAAAGAAAACAACCAGAATCCAAGAGCGTTGTTCCCAGTTGAGTTGAAGTTATTATGTAAAGCAAGTGGATCCGACAGTACAATGGAAGTGCTGTATCCCCAGTTATCCATTTAGGACCCAGGCTCTCATTCTCCCAGCTCTCAGGTATCTAATGAGTTTCCAAGCTGGGGGATTTGGGGAGTGGGAAGGAGCAGTCTGGAGCCTCATTACTGAGAAGAGTTGCCAACCCCACACTATTTCTCTGTCAAGTGAAAATGATTATTATCAGATAAACTCAATTGTGCTAATATCTTCTGCAGAGTGTATTATTTCTCAAGAAATTACTGTCTTATCCCAGCTAAATTGCATTTGCTTCCTTAGAGATTTTTTTTAAAAAATATATTTTATCGATTTTTTACAGAGAAGAAGGGAGAGAGATAGAGAGTTAGAAACATCGATGAGAGAGAAACATCGATCAGCTGCCTCCTGCACACCCCCCACTGGGGATGT